TAGTTTCGCTTTCACAACGAAACACAGCATCTTCACGAGATGGCGGCAGCAACAATACTACAGCGAGAATAAAAGTTACGCTCTTTCTTTGCGTGAACATTTGGGCGGCGTTATGCAAATCTTCCCACATGGTGACGTAGACATCTGGGGGCGTGTTAGAACGAGACGTTTTAGGTAGGCGTGGCTGACTCTTAACTTTTATAAAGAATGTTTGGATTTGAGACTTTAGTCTTTGCAACTTTACAGATCTTCTTTATGCACCAAGAGCTTGTAACACTTCAAAGAGAAAGGAAAAATTGAAATCGCATCACATGACCCCTTTAAAGCTACAATTTTGGTTTTACATTACAATTTAATTAAAAATATATATATTCAAAATCTGCATGAATTGCTGAAAGGTCCAAAGCTTGTAACTGTTTTTTGAAATACAAGTCAAAAATATCAGATATCACACTTTTTGAATAGTTATTTTTATAAACCCAAATTGATTAAAATCAGAAAATCTGTTTTAGAAATTCATGACAATGTCATCAAGCCTGGCTCCAATACCAAAAACAATGTGGTATTTATAGTCTATTCTTTACAGATTACAATGGAAAGGTTAAAGGAATAACATGCTATGAATTTTATAATTTGCCATTATATGATGGTCAAAAGTACAATTTGTTATTGATGCAGTCATTCAGGAAAGTAGACCATGTTTGAACAGACTGGCCTTTTTGCATGATAAAAGGTTGAAGAATGAATATGTGTTTTGTCTCGGATTGAGCACAACCCAATAAGCAGGTGATTATGTACAGACACGAGCTTAAAATCTGTGATGTAATGAGCGTTTGATCCGTGATGTTAAGGCATCAGATCCCAATTAGTCTGTGAAGAGATATAACAACTGATGAAGGGGAAAAACACATGGCATGAAGTTAAGGCGTACTTACAGAGCCACAGAATATGGAAATACGGTATTTGAAAGATGAGGATGGATCTGTCAGTCAGGCTGTATCATGCGATGAAGATGACCTACAAAGTAAAACAAAAAAACACTGTGCCCTCAGTACAGGAATAAATCGTCGAAAGCAAAGCCAAATGCACCACATAACGTTGCCCCGAGTCCGACCTCATCAGTCAACAACATTTTAAATGTGTTGTGGATTAGTTGGGCATACGTGCACTGCTCCAGCTTCAAACTAAGGTGGCACGTCCGGGGTTGTTGATGAAGCATAAAGTTATGACATAGCTCACAGCATATATTGAATTCATTCAAAACCACTTCAGTTATGGCAAGCTGTTGTAACATTTATTCATTACCAGGTATAGTATTTACCAATACTTATTTTTTAACGTTACTAGTACAAAAATCAACACAATGACTTGCAGCAACAAAGTAAATGGACATCAAATAGTCCAATAATGACTAGTATCTTTTTTCAATTTAACTCATTAATTTGATACTAGGAACCGTTCATTAGACATTCGTTCTTATTCCAACAATCACTAGTATCTATAATTTAGCCACTTACTAACAGATGCTAGTATTACTAGATGCTAGCCTAGTACTATCTAACAGAGACAAGTAGCTACTAGTAAACAAACAACTTACTAAATCGATACTAGTAAAACTTGATTAAGTACAATATGAATATATACAAGTCAGAAACAAATAGCTGATATAAAAAATATTTGCAATAAACATTAGTGACCAATTAGAATATATTGGAATAATTACTAGTTTATAATTAATAATAAAACACTTCTAATGAATAAACTAGCAACTAGGGATGTTCATTTTAACCAGTTAACCGACCGTAAGAATTTTGACCGATTAATACATTCAGTTAAATGGTTTAAAAAGTCATTTAATTATTTATCTTTTCAGTAATTTATCAAAATATTTAAAAAGTTTGCTGCATGGTTAAAATATGCTACGCGTATAAAAAAAAATTGTTTTTAGGGGGAAAAAAAACATAAATCGCATATAAGTCGCATTTTATTATTTAATTCAGAAATAGCCTAGACCTAATGCCGACACGAAATGTTTACAAACATTATGATAAACACTGTAAACAAATCCTTTCAATTAACAGTAGCCTATTTTGAAAAGAACAAGAATTAAAAATATAAGAAGCTATAGCAATATAAACGACAAGCCAAAACGAATTAATTTAGGATAAAACTAAACTGAAACCAACGTTGGATCTCTCATTCGACACAAAATCAAATGTTTTCGTATTCGCAATGTATTTGAATGGCAAATTATTATTTATTATGTAGCCTATAGGCTTCACTCGCGTTCCAATATCCACGTAAAACAAAATGTTTTGCATAACATCACGGCGGTGCGGTGATAACACTTAACGGCACAGATTTTACTACATATTTTTTACTACATAGTTTTTTTTCCATATGTTTGACTGACTGTATTTTATTATGATAATGAACAGGCTGCATTGTCAAGGTAACAATGCTTACCTGTGTCTGCGCATGCGGCGCCGGCGCAATCACTTGAGTTTTTTCCTTCCATAAATAATGTTTTGATATATTAAACATAAAACGTTGAATACTGATACTTGAAATTATTTAAAACATGAAAAAAATAAAAAATAAATAAATAAATAAAAAAGAAAAAGCCAAAATTTGAAATTAAAACCGCCAGCAGGTGGCAGCAAATCACTGTTAATAAGTGAGTCATTGCGATTGAACCGAATCATTTAAACGTTTGATTCATTCAAGAACGAAACACCATCATGTTGCTCAGAGACACAAAACAGGCTGTGGCTGTATTCGGAATGATTTTTGTTGGCGAAATAGAGAAAAAACAAGCAATATGGAGTCTAAAACGTAAGTCTCTTAATTAACTCATTGTTTATTGAATTCAATGTCACATTTGTAATCATGGTAATTTTTGGAGAAAAACGGCACTCTCCGTGTGAAATTGAATAACTATATGAAGTGGTATAAATATATACATTTTCTGCCATCATGTCTTGAATTTGTGATCATTCTAAATGCATTTTAATAGACTGAATCATGCAGTGAAAGAAAACACATTAAATGCGCACACGCACTAGTCTAGACTTCACGTAATGTATGCGTGCGCTCTGTAGGGATGTTTTGAATGGTTTTTGCAAAATACTCGATAATGTCAAATCGCACATCGTTAAAACAACAATTACGAAATTATCGCAGACGATATATATCGCACACCCCTAGATGTCGCTTATCATATGAGATAAATATGAGCCAAAAACTCATACAGGGGTATTTTTTGCCCCAATATCTTGAATTTTAGAGCATAACTTCGTTTATGGAGTTGTTGCTCTGCATCATATTTGTCAACAGTCAACTGTATGAACTGTAAGATGACGTACAGGTCTGGGTGCGGGGCCAGTGCGTTAACAGCGTTAAAATGTTTTAATCGCGTTATTTTTTTCATAACTAATTCATTAATTTAATGTGTTAAACTGACAGCCCTACATTAAATAAATACGTTTTACCAGGTTAATGTTGAATATTAGTAACTCAAACCTTTTTATCTAAACCTCTCTGCTTAACCATCAGTCACACACATCCACCATGTTTGTAGTTTTTAAACACTAAATAACCGAAATGAACATCCCTACTAGCAACTTAGTTGCATTCCATAAGTCGATGTACTGGTTAGTTGCTAGTCGCCGTTCTTAGTTCTGGTTGATCTAACATGGTAATGAACGTCACTACTGCTAAAATGTAATTTAAAGGGTTAGTTCACCCAAAAATGAAAATTCTGTCATTAATTACACACCCTCATATCGTTTCAAACCCGTAAGACCTTCGATCATCTTCGGAACACAAATTAAGATATTTTTGATGGAATCTGAGAGCTGTCTGACCCTGCATAGACAACGTATGCTGTTCTGTGTCAGCTGCGTCACACGGACACGCTGTTTCCGTTCAGATCAAATCACAACAACGTAGAAAACAGATCCGGCATGACGCAGCTGACACAGAACAGCATACGTTGTTTACGTCCAGTGGATATTCTCCAAAATGGCACCAGGGTGATGCGGAGGAGACGAATTGTTGAATAAAGTCGTTTTTTTTTCTTATGCGGAGGAGACGAATTGTTGAATAAAGTCGTTATTTTTTTTCTTTTGTGCACAAAAAGTATTCTCGTAACTTCGTATAATTGCGGTTGAACCACTGATGTCACATGGATTATTTTACCGATCTCTTTGCTACGTTTCTGGACTTGGGAACATTTCAGTTGCGTTGCTGTCTATGCAGGGTCAGACAGCTCTCAGATTCCATCAAATATATCTTAATTTGTGTTCCGAAGATGAACGAAGGTCTTACGGGTTTGAAACGACATGAGGGTGAGTAATTAATGACAGAATTTTCATTTTTGGGTGAACTATCCCTTTGAAGTCATATGGCAGTGCGGCAATCTATCTGTGCCAAGACCACAAACGCAAGGCTATATGGGTCAACACACACAATCGTCATACAACACACGTTTTTAAATTTTAAATCATCCCTATATGAGGTCAGAGACATCAGAAAATCACTGTCTGCAAGGATTACCTTGCGCCCATCTTGACAATGTTTGCTAGCTGACGAGACAAAAATGTAGTCGGCATGAAATTAAACTTCACCTTCTCTAAATGCATGTTACAGATCTTATTGAAAACTATTCATCTGTACGTGTTTCAGTTTTTCTGACCTTTTGATGTTCAATCAAAACACAATAACTGGATCTTCCCTCAAAACGGCATATTTGTCTCTGGTGAAGCATACCGGACTTCTCCAATCATTTAGTCCACTTAAACCCGTTCCTGCAAGATCATGTTCATCTGCATCCACTTTTGAGCAAAACACCCACATCTTAAAATTCAATAAGCAACCGATGGATTGAACCAACTCCCCATCCATATGTTTTTATTTCCAGCGTATGTCACAATACGGATGAAAAGATCTGTCACTACTGTTCCATTGTGATTTCTTTTTTTAACTTTGACAACATCAGTGAAAGGTTGCTGACACTGAGAGCGTTTAAATCGGTGAAGGTCATGGAGTTGCTGTATTGTTGGTTTCCAGTCGGCGGTCCTACTCCAAACTCCTACTGATAGTCGGTGCATCACATCGCTGCTCGTCTGCATAAAATGGAGCTCTTCTCAACTTTTCTCATCGCCAATGGTCATAAACACTCATGTTGAATGAATGACTTCCTGTTGCTCTTCCACTGCAGATCTTTGTCAGTGTGAACACCGTTTTATTGACATACATTTACATCTAATGAATAGTTACTTGTGAATTAAAACAATACTACATATTAATCAAGACGCAAGATGTAACAACTGTTAACAAGGCTTGCCATACTTCGGCTCGTTCACGTAGGTCTTATTAAAGCACATCCGACACAGTTTCGTCGAGTGTATGTACGGTATATACAGTATTGCAGCGTTTAGTTTTCAGGTACAGCCTGAGAGCGGTGCTCTCTCCGTGTGTGTCTCTGCAGAACTCTCGATCCCCTAATCAAGAACTCCACTAAGCACCATGTCGACGATACCCTCCGATTATTTAAGCCATCGAGCTCATTTCCAAACTCGCTTGACCCTTTATTTGAACTGTGCTCGGTTTGCATCTCGGTGCAAAATGTCGATCTGGGCTCTGACAAGACAGACAGCCGAGAGTCCATCTTGCTTTGGGGAAGATGAAGTATAAATCTCACTCCTGTCAAACTCCGCCAGGGCATTTTCAGAGAGAGATCCCCCTCCACGAGCTTTCATTACTTAAACTAGGGGTTTTCGGGGCAGACTTTTCAGATGAGACGGTTTTGTGCTCGGGTTTCTCGCTCCGTTTAGTCAGACAGAATAAAAGTAGCTGGCTAGCCTGCTAGCCCCTGTGATGCGAGATTGCTCTAGCTCGCCTGAACGTGTCATTAGCAGACACATATGCAATAATCGCACGGTCGGTCGTACATGTTAAATCGTCGCGGATTTCACAGAAACCCTGATGTTCGGTGAGCGCAGGTGTCAAACACGCCTAACGCCAAAGTTGTTTATGCCGAAGCACAACAAACTGGCACGAATTTCGCACTGTCTAAGCGCGAGCTCCCGATCAATCGGAACTCGGGGCTTTTCGCACACAAAATATGTCCAAGTTTTCAGTTATCGCGGCATCTGTGAACGCAAACTTACCCCTGAAATCCGGTCGAAACGCCAGGGCCTTCTCATTCCAGCCTCAAACTTATTGACACATCAGAACAGTTCTGCACTGGCCGTCCGTACAGTAGCCCCACAGACACTTATATTATTTTTACCGGATGCTTGGAAAGGAGCAACACCGCAGCGTGAATTCGACAACTACATCACAATCGCACCGATCACTCCGAAAACGAATAACGGTGGCGGCCGAACGCCACTTTGGTATCGCTACTTTCGTTTTAGGCGAACAATTTTCTCGGTTTGTTTTCTCTCGCAGCCCTCCTCCCCCTCCGTGCGTTCAAGTGTTCTCATTGACTTGCTCTGTTATGAAGCCCGTGTGCTCTGTGTGGATGTTCACAGCGCTGGACTCACTGGCCTACCGTGTCACATCTTCATCATCATCATCATCGTCATGTTGGAAAATTCAGTTTAATATTCTGTTTTATAACAGTGTATTATAACGTTGTAGCTGCGTTCTAGCTGGATCACCTGAAACACGCTTGACTACCTGGTAACTGGTTTGCTGCTGGTTTACAAGCTTTGACCAGCTAACGACCTTCGCAGACCAGAACAAACACAGAAACTCCCAAACGCATCTAGTTTCAATTTGTGGCTGTTCTGGATTGACTCATATCAACTCATCATCACAACTAGCTAGTTGACCAGCAGTGTTGGGCAGTAACTAGTTACTAGTAACTTAGTTACTGTAATAATATTACTTTTTGCAGTAACGAATAGTGTAACTAATTACAAATACGATTTCAGTAATAATATTACAGTTACCATCCATAAAACAGCAGTTGCTTTTGATGCCTCAACCCCGCTGATTTAAAATCCAACAATCAAATAATTCCTAGATTTATTTTCATAATTTTCATGACTCGCACAAGCATGTGATGTCCCCAGTGCAGCAGGCAAGCCTGGAATATGGAAAAGCTTACATTCAGCAGATAGAAATATTGCATTATATTGATTTTGTCAGAAAAAAGATGATCTGAACACTGTTGTGTAAGTTGTGGCTGTACTTTACTCTGGCATTACATCCCACCCACACCCCTCTGATCAGCATGTGGTACATTATATTATTATAATTACAAATCTTTTTGGAAAATCAAACAGTTTCTTACAAACTTGTGTGATTTGATAAAATAAATAATGAAATATAATCGTATATGGGTAACGGAGAAATTTACAATTAGCTTCAAGCTACACATGACAATTAATGAGATTAATACGACACTTCTGCTTGAATGTCACTATCAGTCACTATTGAGTGTTTGTAATAACTTCTGACTGCGATCCAATGTGGATTTTGGTCAAATGATGAGGCAGAAATATGTTGTTAGTAACATTCTAGAAGAATTTTATGTGGAAGATACACAGTTACAACTTCTGTGGGGCGTGAAGAAAAAGTAATGTAACTAGTAATATAACTAATTACTATTGCCAGAAAGTAATAAGTAAAGTAACAATATTACTTTTGAAAGGAGTAACTAGTAATGAGTAATATATTACATTCTTTGAGTAACTAGCCCAACACTGTTGACCAGTCACCAACCTCACATCACCAGCCGATAACTAGTTTGTTGCTGGTTAAAGAGTTTAATTATAATCTTATTTCAGCTATAAACCCGCTACCATGTTCCAAAACACATCTAGCTAGTTTGTGCACAGCAGTTCTGGACTTACTTAACAGTCATCATCATCATAACATGCTGGTTGACCAGACACTCATTTTCAAAAACTAGCTTGACTACCTCACATGACGAGCCGGTAACTGGTTTGTTGCTGGTTAAAGACCTTAATGTCCATCTTACAGTATGTAAGCTAGAAACCAGCAACTATGTTTCAAAACACACCTAGTCAGTTTGTGAAAAGCTATTGGCTATTTTTGACTGACTATCTCATCATTATCATAATTAGTTGGCTGACTGGTAAACAGATTCTAAAAACCACCTCACATTACCAGCTGGTAGCTGGTTTGTTGCCGGTTAAAGATTTTAATGACCCGTCTTATATCAGCTAGAAACTAGCTACCTCCTCCAAAACACATCTAGTTAGTTTGTGCACAGTTTGTTGCTGTTTTGAACTGACTGACTATCTCATCATTATCATAATTAGTTGGCTGACTGGTAAACAGATTCCAAAAACCACCTCACATGACCAGCTGGTAGCTGGTTTGTTGCTGGTTAAAGAGCTTAATGACCATCTTACACCATCTGCAAAAAGTAGCTACCATGCTCCAAAATAAATCTAGTTAGTTTCTGCGCAACATGTGGCTGTTTTGGACTGACTTGACTATATCATCATTATCAGAATTAGCTGGTTTACCAGTAATCAGGTTCCGAAAACCACCTCACATCATGATCAGCTGGTAGCTGGTTTGTTGCTGGTCTACCAGCTTAACTTCCATCCTAGACCAGCTAGAAACGAGCTACCATGTTGCAAAAACCTGCTTGACCACCTTAAGCTGATAAGAGCAACTTATAGCTGGTTTGTTGCTCATATACAATTGACCATCAGCTATTAAACAGGTACTGCTCCAAGACACATCTGGTTAATTTGTGCACAGTGGACAGACTGGACTACACATTATATTATCATTTTTTATAATTAGCTGGTTGACCAGTCACCATGTTCCAAAAGCCAGCTTGACCAACTCATGTGACCAGTCTGTAGCTGTTTTTGCTGGTTCGAGCTTATCAAGCCAACAATGTTGCAAAAAGATGCTTGACCACATTAAGCTTGTAAAACTGACTAGTAGCTGGTTTGTTGCTGGTCTAACTTGGTCCACCAGCTTAATGGCCATCTTAGACCAGCTAGAAATGTTGCAAAAATCTCCCTGACCACCTTAAACTGGTATGAACGATTGATAGCTGGTTTGTCGCTGGTCTAAGATGGTACAGCAGTTTAGACTAGTCACCTTGTTTCAAAACACGCCTTTAATTTTAAACCCGATTTATCAACACGGTTTAAGTCAAGCCATGCTGCCTAAACTTTTGTGCTGCATTTAAGTTGATTTACAGCACCTACTTCTAAAGGATGACACCACCATGCTGGGAATGCTTTTCTGATCACAGACTCACTATGAGCTTCCTGGATTTTGTATATTAGTGTCAGATCGGCGTCGCGCTGGTAAAATAAAGTCTAACAGTTCTTGTGCGTCGTCACTTACCTGCAACAGGCCCCCAAAGTGACTTAACGGGTCCGTTGTCCACCTCTCAGACCTCTTCGATGGTGTCTTTTTCTGTTCACTTTTTTTTTTGCAATACAGTCTACTGTACATGCAGTGAGTGAAAATATAGTTTTCATGTAAGGACAGTTGTGATTGGCCGCACGCTTGATTGACTGCCCGAAACAACCACTCAGAGTGCGTGAAACATTTCGGTACGGTTCCGAGATAGAGAGATTAAAACCACATATTCATAATGTCCTGGACATTCATATAACACGCAAAACACACAATAGTTACAGAAGAAGTGTGCACTATCATTCATTAGATCAGCAGGTGCTGTGAATTTATCAATATAGAGACGCCATCGAGAAAAGAGAGCGAGTGTGACATACGCTTCGGAACAATCCCAACACGCACTAAACAGTCACCGGGTGCAAACGCACATTAGTGCACAACGTTGATGTGTTTGCCCTTCACTCACTCTTTGTATACGACTGTTGAAAGCTCAGTATGTTTAGAATACGATATAAAGCCATATGTGTGTTCATTCGTGTCACAGCCTCCTCGTACTCTCACATAGGCACATAGTGCACTGTTTTCCTGTCTCGTTTGCCCTCTTTATGAGCTTTTCATGCGATGGTTCTACGTGCTAACATGAGAGTGGACATCGCATTATCACGTCTACATATCACTTTGGTCACACATGAGCTGTAATAAAACAAGCTATTTGTGTTCATGATTATTTATGACGTTGATACTGATGAATGAAGATGAGGAAGAGGAAGAGGGGGTCAACAGAGGCGGAATCATACCTGAGCGACACGATGCTTTTTACAAATAAAGTTAATACTTTTCTGTCAATCTTTCGTGTAATTCGAAATTTAACCCTGTCCCTGCTGAAAAAACAGCGTGTACTAGCCTAAACTGGTTCTTCGTTTTTTCACCCAGGCTGATCAAGCTAGTCTGCTTTTTTGTTTTTTTGAGCACTTTTCTACTAGTCTGTAAATCAGCTTTAGTAGCTGAGCACCAGCTTGGCCAATCTAGAGACCATATTAAACCAACTAAGACCAGCAAAATCACTTTAGCAACTTTTTTAGGTTATAAATGTGTGTGAAATCGTATAATAGGCTAGTTAATTATTAATAATTATTAATTTGTCAAATTTATTAGATTATTTATATATTTTCTCTTTTATTTTACAAGATTATTGCCATTTCTTTCTGATGGACTATGACTGCAAGTTATAATGTAATGTTTAAGTGTAGGAGGGTGAGTGACAAATGTGACGATTAACTGACTTAAATTCTGTCAGGACCACTATCATCAAAGATGATTGACAATTAGCATACAGTTTGGATTTGCGGTATGGTTCCGTTCTGGGCAAGAACTCCCTGCGCATCCATGCAGCCAAGCATGGATGAGAGCAGGGAGAGCAGCAATAACCCCCCAGGGTAAACAGAACAGAACCAACATAAATGTATTGCAGATATTGTTAAAGTTCAATAATTTTATGTACACATTTTAGAATTAGTCTGATTCAAAGGAGAATCAGAAGGCTGAATCCCGACTGACAGAGGAGGAGTTGGGGATGGAGGAGGGTAATTAGCTATTGAGCAATGCAAAAACTGCTGATAATACTGAGGGACCTTATATATGAATGCTTAGATAGGTGTCATATTCCCATAGGTAGATGGGGATCAGCTGAAAGTGAGCTGATGCGAACTTGACTAACGTGACCTGCCAAAACTAATGCTACGCTTGATTTAAATGTACCTGAATCACTCTTATACTTTGTCACTTATGTGTTTATCATATTTTTCTGAGTTATGCAACACAACCACACGAATGCAAAATGTGACATTCTGAATGGAACCAAATGATTAGGCTATTAATTACTGCTTTGTACTGACTGAACAAAACTACCACACAAACCAAAAGAATCAGCCTTAGTGAGTAAATCTAATGGGCCAATCATTAACCTCCTGGTCAGATAAGTTTGATGAGACATTCTGTTCCCACAAAAGTAAAATCAAATCAGCTGTATTTTGATGTTTCATCTTAGTCACATAAAAACCGTATGTGTTGATAGTCGTTTTGTAAAACTGAGCCGTTGAGAGACTGAGAGAGAAAGTAAGTTGAGGAAAATCACATTAA